GTGAGCCACAGCCGGTATCCAATACCCAAGAAGAATCGTTAACTGATAAGTTAACTCCAACAAAATAAATACCTGAACTTTTCAGGCTAGCAAGATACTCCTTGCAATTCCTCTTCCTATGCCCAGTTTTACCACAATGATAACATTCATGATTAGACTGAAAATTAACCTTCTCTTTGTTCTTTCTTTTGTTGTTATTTGCCTTCTTGTTGGGTTTATTGGGAACCTTTCCCTTCCCCTTCCTTTTCTTAGACTTTAAAGTCTTTGATCCAGAAGTGGATCCAACAAGAAGCACCTGCTTATCCTTTTTTATTGTGGATTCAGCCGTCTTTAACATGTTCACTAATTCTGGCAGAGAAGTCTCCATATTATGCATGTTAAAGTTAACAACAAAGCTATCAAATGACGATGGCAGAGATTGCAGCATGAGATCCACATAGAGTTCATTATCCATAATGACTCCAAGGGACGAAAGCCTTTCAACAAGAGCTATCATCTTCAGCCCATGATCATGAACTGAAGAGCCCTCAGTCATACGACACCTGAAAACCTCTTTAGATATCTGATATCTAATTTGTCGCGTCCTATCACCATACAACTCTTGTAGATGAAGGAGGATTTCAGAAGCATTATTCAACAATTCGTTCTGTCTCTGTAACTCATTTGACATTGATGCTAACATGTAGCACCGATCTTGGAGATTCTCATCAGTATGACGTAAGTATTCTCCATACTCATCAGATGTCTGATCCTCGGGTGGAGGAGGAGGGGCTTTGTCCAATACATAGTCCCTTTTTTCAGACTGTAGAACAATTTTCAGGTTCCTCAACCAATCATTAAAATTGGGTCCAGTTAATTTGTTTTGTTCAAGGATACTTGCAATTGGATTCTTAGCCATTTTAGTAGAGTGATCTACAAAAACAAACGAAGCAGAAAATAATCAGACTATGGAATTTATATTCATTTAATATTAGGTCTTTAACATTAAATGTCTCTCACTATTTTAATTAAAACCCCTATTTTAATTATGAAAATCTAATTTTCATAGTGGGCTTGAAGTCCAATAAAAGTATTCTATATCCCAATTTTATGAGTACGCATGAAACATTTATATCGGTAGTCAACTTTTGACAATTGTATCATTATAAAACCTTCAAGTTGTTTTGCCTCACTTTTCCTTATATACCTCAATTTTATGACCGTATATATTACTAAGTGTCAAATCAAACCCATCAAACATTCATGATAGTGGCCCACCAGAATCTCCCACGACTCATGGTCAACATAAAGAGGAATCCACCTCACGAGTATCACTATACTTAGTAGGGATCACAGCTTTCGACACTAAACCACCCCACGACTCATGGTCGGTGATAAAGCATCGTAGCATCTCATGTCGTCTACTTTTGATGGAAGGTCTGGATTAATAAGTTCCAACTTATTTTTATCCATTATTGATTTGATATAGAATTATTCAAATTAATTCTTTAGGGTTCCTTAGATCTCATCAATTACCATCTTTACGTGTG